TGGTTTCTGGTTCTGATTCGTGTGTTTCTGGACTTTTTTCCTCTCTTTGTGGTCGTTTCGTGTATTTTTGTGCGTTGCCGTTGGGGTAAAGGACAGTGTTGTAGGTCAGGGTGAAACCATTAAACAGCGTGCAGCAGCTGGTGTGGCTCAGAGGCTGTTTTGTGTGTCGGTGCTTTGTAGAAGGTTAATTTGGCCTCGGCGAGGAGCTCGGCATCCTGAAGTTCCATGAAGCGAGTTTCTAACTGCGTGGCGTCTGGGTGAAGTCATCGGTGAGTCATGGTATCGATCAGCAGCCTCGTCAACCTTCTGCAGATATATGGCGGCGACGTTCTTGTGAATGTGGCAGGAAAGGGTGTAAATCTTCCTGATTGCTCTTTAAACGTCACAGATTGAAACGGCGGTGGAGACGGTGCACGTCTTCCTCACCCCGACCTTGTCCCGCCCTGTTATTCCTTGACTTCCTACAGTCGCAGCGTCTCTGCGTCCCGGGATGCTGTCGCAGTGTTTCCTCCCCCGCTGGCCGCTCGCTGCCGCTCCTCCAGCCAACTGCTCTCTGTCACGGCAGGCCGGCCGTCTGACGGCGCACTTGGCTGCAGCTGAAATTGATTTGGCAGCAGCAACAACAACAGCAGCAGTTTCCCAGGAGACGGGGACGCCGCTCAGAGGGATCGAGGTGGACGGATGCTCACCTCGCAGGCAGGTCGGCCCCGGTGCTAAACAGCCGGGCCCAGAAGATTCGCCGTGTGAATATTCTCGGGTTTTTTGAGTCCCGACCTTCGCTCCTCCTCTTCGCGCCCTCCACAGACGGGAGAGAATCTGAGCCAAAACGTTTTCACGCTGCCAAATAACGATGATGACAACCTGTCCGTGCAGCAGCACGCCAGACTGACGGCCGCTGACCGCACGCCTTTCCACAGTTACACTCTTCACATCATTTTTAAACAAAACGATAAACGTCAGCACACGAACCCAAACAAGCTGAAGGGCAGAGAGCACATCATCATCGTCATCTTGTTGTCAGGGCAGAAAACTCTGATTTTAGGAACCAGTTTTAGCACCAAATGAGTGAAAAGGTCCAGGCTGATCCTGGGTCGTGATTGGTTAACATCAGACTCCGCCTGGGTCACATGTTGATGAAGAAGTTTCTTAAATGTAAATCAGGTGAAGGTGAAGCAGAGTAACCATGTACCTGAGGAGGAGTGTGTGTGTGTGTGTCTGTGTGTGTGTGAGAGACTGATGATTTGTGTATTCGGTCTAATGAGACTCTTAGTGTCACAGTTTGATTTGAGCTTCTTTGAATTTAAAGTGTTTGTGAGTCTCTTGTGAGTCTGTTGTGAGTCGTGCTCACGTCTGACTCCGATGGCTGAAACTGTCTCCTGTTGTTCGTCCTCTGACGACCTGCTTTCTGCTGCCTCTGCTCATGTTTCATTAAAGAGTAACTGTTCATGCACACTGATGCTGGTACGAGTGTCCTCTGAGTCAGAACTGTTCGGACCAAACCAGAATTAAATATTACACGATGAACATTTTCAAATGAAGCACACTGTAGCTTCCAGGTTGACTGCACAGTCACAGTAAGTGTGGCTGTGCAGCGGCTGCAGCCTCTCTGCCCACAGTCAGTCCCTAACCCCTGGTGGTGAACAGAGGAAGTGCAGTTTTAGGGGTTACAACATAC